AGGGATTTTGATTTGATACCAACTGTGTGTTGTGTAATATCTCACAACAGACATATCAGTGACACCATTAAATAACAGTCAGGTAATTGTAATGGCAGTACCAAAAAAAAAAAAAAAAAGAATCTAATTTCTTTTATACGTTTTCAGCAGTATGTGCTGCACCACTTATCCATTAGAGCACTTCTTGTCATATCTATATTTTGTTTCCCGGAGCTTTTGTCTTTTTTTTTTTTTTCCCCTCCCCCATAATCCATCAATCATTTAGTCAGAAGCAGGGAAGAAGTCCTGGCACCAAGGCAGTGTTTCTGAACAAGAGCATAGCAGAGAGTAAAATCTCTGGGGGCATAAATTGCAGCTGGTGTAAGTCAGCTGAAGCCAGCTCCCAAGTGAGAGGCTCTGTGCCATGTTACACCACCTGCTTCCCAAAGAGCCCTGCCCGCTGTCCCCAGCAGAAGCACAGCTGAGAGGTGGCCAAGGCAGCGTGAGGTTCTGAACCTCAGGAGACACGAAACCACCGGGAGCAGAACAGAGCAACAGCAACCCCAGTGACCCATCTGCTCCTCGCTAGAGATTTCAGAATAAAGCAGCTGGGGGAGAAACTCGCTTGAAAAACATCAACCCTGCCAAAAGATTCATTTCCTGCTCAGTTTTCTTCAAACGCATTTCAAGCAATTTGTTTTTAACCAATTGTTTAGGTGTTAAATTCCACAAGAGAGAGAAAAAAAAAGACAATTAGAACCAAATCTGTGTGGAGGGGGGAACGCTCTGAGGGCTGAAGGGGTTCATGCAGCTGGACAACTTAACCTGAGACATCTGCTCCGTTCAGTGGCCCCACATCCTCTGGAGACCACTGATATCCTGCCCTCACCCAACTCTGGCAGCAGCAATGGCAACCAGGCAGAAAAAGGAAAAAAAGAAACGGAAATGCTGCAAGTTTATCTTCCTTCGGTTTATCACTTATGAAACCATGACTTACCCCTCTTCCTTGCCAAGGCAAGCGTGTGCAAGGGCCACTACACACGCTGCAGCTGGCTCAACAAAACCTTTCCACAGCCCTCTGTCAGTGCAGCAGCACAGCAAGACCTGCCTTTCATCTGGCAGCCTGGGCACTGAGCAGGACAAAGTAATAGTCCAGTCCATCTGTAATGAAGTGCTCTATCTGATATATGCAGCATGCATTGATACTCATCACACATGCTAATAAAAACCCTTTCATTTTTAGAAAATTAGTCCTGATTTAGAGAACTATAAAGGGGCATCTGATCCTGTAACATCTTACTTGGTAAGATCAGGACTTCCGCTGGCTAACAGGGTCTGGTTTCTATTACTGTACACACAAAAAAGGCAGCTATGAAACAGAGAGTGCCATAATAAATCTGCATATACTTCGGGATTACAAGAGATTACACAAGGACGTTGGAGGGCAAGACCAGAATTTATAACCGCCTTGACAAATCATACAAACAGCCAGGCTGGTGGAAGAGTAGGACACTCTTCAGTATGGAGGAGAACACAGCCTGCCTGTTAGTGAGAAATCCAGTTATTACACAGTAGTTCTGTGTAAGAAAGAGTTTGGGACTGTTCAGTTACATTCAGTTCGTAAACTGAATGTAACTGAACAGCATTCTGAAGGAGGAAGAGACTTAAAATAGGATTATGACTTGCAAAGCACACAGTGGTCCTTCCACACTGCTCAGTACTGTTTAGGCTGGCTGGAGTAAGACTTCTAGTTTAGGGCACTACTTGACTTGAAGACCAAAACAGAACTCTAAAAATGATTTACAGGGAAAATCTAAACAAATCAGAGCTGGTCACAATACACAGAAGACAATTTAAAGGAAACCTGAGAGCTATTTGCAATACGTAAGAGGTTGTTATTAAAAGAAATCATCTGTTTTCCCCATCCAAGACATACAGAGCTTGAATGGCTGCACACAAGGAGGATGCATCCCTGCTCCATTAAGGGCAACACAAACCAAGACACTGGTTACCAATCTGGCTGAGTTACAAACAGTGAACTGCAGAAGACTGTATTTCAAAAATAGCTCTAGTCCAACAATCACTGAAAGTCAAAGGTATTCTTTTCTGCAGGCTTCAGTAGGCACAGGATTGAACATATGAAAGCAAAGGAGTCCGAACAAAACTCACACCACACTTATGTGAAGATAAAGGTTAATGCAAAAAGGGTAAGCTATAGCAAGAAATCCATAAAAATATTTCCAGAAGTTCAAGGGGAACCTAGTGCCTTTAGGTAGAAGCACACTAACTAACACATGGCAGGACTCCAGGAGAATTTCAGATCCCATCTCATTCACTCGTCAGAAGGTAATTTCAGCTATGGGGTTTATTTCACATAAGCTCATGCAGAGTTTCTGTTAAGGACAGATATATTTTGCAATCACAATTTCATGTGAACCTCATCTTAACAGCAACCTGCAACATTTCCAAGGTCCTGCTGTCATGGGTATCTAAATCAAACCTCAGACAACAGCAAACCTCCAGGATCATGAAAACAATCTTAGGGAGGGAAAAGACATTTTAGGGACTTGAGCAAAACCCTGAACTATCTGATTTGTTCAGTCTTACCACTATATTTCAAGTGGATCTTGCTCAGGTTCCCCCTGTGCTGCACATCACACACACATCACACACACAGCCTCACCACTGCCTGTCTCCTACACACTACAGTGCAGCTCATTCCTCCGGTCAGCAGCTGCCACCCCCACAGACACCCTCCTGCCAGCTCCAGAAAAACTCAGAAAATCTCCCAACTCCCCTTCTCCTACACAGCCAGAGTGAAAGATACTTTTAAAAAGGCACTAAAGACTAAAGTTGATGTTTCCTGATTTCTCTTAGAGGTAGTGGGGCTCTTGAAGAGCACCACAGTCGGTTATTACTGTTTTCACAAAATACTAAAATCCTTTGCAGATTTTAGTCACTGATATCTGCTTTCTGCATAATTGATATAAAATTCAGATTAAAAATGTTTAACTACTGAGGCCGATGACAGGGTTATTTCCATTAATAGCAGAGTAACTATGTGTGAACATGAAGATCAGTTCATAACACCACTTCATCTCTTTCTTTACATTAGGCATGCTACAGTTGGCATGGAGCTCTGCTCAACAACCAAAGCAGATGTTTTACCTCTATTTTGAATCTGGAACAGATTAGCAAAGTTAGTTTGATTCAACATATCCTGATAATATCCTTGTTCTCAACCTCAACCAAATTATTGAAGCTGACAGGGGAAAAAAGGAAAAAAAATATCAAGCTTTGCTGATGAGTGCAGTATCAAACAGCCAGGCCAAAGAAATTAAATGGAAATTTTAAGAGGTTTCAAAATTGTCTTCACTTCAGAAAACAATTCAGTATCTTCAGAGCATGATGCATCTGACTGTGACAAATCCAGCAGTGTCAAATTTACTTTGTACAGACACAAATTAAACAGAAAGATGAGCTGGAGAGTTATAAGGAGCTATTACAGTCTTTCTTCCAACAAGCTACCATTGCAAGTTATGAAGAGCTTTGTCTGAATACCCTCTGAAAAGTCTGCAAGACATCTCTGAGACCACTGTCACAGTTTTGAGACTCAGTGTGAGCGTTCCCTTCATCTCACTCACTCCCATGCATCAGACACATCTCTGTGTCTGAGAAAAGCTGACCTTGCATGTGCAGCACCAGCCAGAAGGGTAAGTCTGTACATTCTCATCGGCTGAGGAAGTGGGATGCAAATCTCCCTCACTTCATTTCTTCTCAAATAGCTTCCAGTCATGGTCACAACCTCTTGCTGAAACCCTTCAGCATTGAGCAGGAAGGCAAGACAAGGGCTCAGCATCCCAGCTCCCAGCACTGATTTTGTACATGCAGCTGTCTCTCCGTGCTTCCCTCCAGTTCCTGTCATACAAACCAAGTGGTGAGGCTGGCAGTCAGACACAGCCCAGCTTCTCTCTGTCCACGTCACATCCAGACACATTGATCCCTCTGGTCTGGGATAACCATTGCCCAAATGGGGCTTCCTTTTCCAGAGAAAAAGGCTCAGCTGGGGGAGCTCACCCACAGCGTGAGGGTCCTGGCAAGGTCAAGGCAAGCCCCCCTCATTCCTGAGCAGTCTCATTAGAGCCTCTTTGCAGCAGAGGAGGGCAAAGAATCATCCAGTGAACAAAAGGGAACACAACAGAGGGACAGAGGGCAGTCCACTTCAAATGGGCCTCTGCAAAACAAAGTGCTCAGAAATATCAGAAAGGGGAAAAAAAGAAAATTTTTACAAATAAATGCCTTTTTAAGCCCACACTGTAGCTGCCGTGTGTAATCCAAACCCTGTTTTTAATTTTGCTAGAGAGGCCCTAGCTTATTAAGGCTGAAAGTTAATTAGACTTGCATAGCTTAACATTTCAGCCTCTCATTTACTTTTGGTGAACTATTCCACTTCAATAGTGAAAAGCTTACTATTCTGTGTTGTTGTCATGCACCATGAGTCTGATACCAAAAGAAATGCTTGCAAAAAAGAGCACCTAAGCTTGCTAAAAAATAATTAGTTTGGGCTTTTTAAAAACAGTTTTTATATTAAAAACCAACAAATCTCTATCTTGAGTCCCTAAACACAGCCTCTCAGCTCTTTCATGAATATTCACGTATTAGTCTTGTCAAATTTAGTAAATATGCAACCTTACTACAAAACACCCCTTAATCAGCTAACACATGAACTGCTGCTTGTCAGGGCAGTGGCAATGTGCTTAACACTCATTTTTGTCTGTGCTGTTAAACAGGGCATTATTCTCTACCTCTCTAATGGCAACAGCAGAAAGAGCTGGTGACAGCTTGATCAACTGCCTAATGAGAGCCGGAAAGTTGAATTACAGTAACCTAGCTAAATGATAAAGCCAAAACAAACCAGAGGATTTCCCAATCCAGTCTGACTTTACCGTCCTTCTGCGATCCCCTGGCCACCCACTTTGGCCACACCACTGTGGATGCCTGTGGTATTTGAACACTTCCTTCTGACAGGGAGCTCTTCGAATAGTTTTGCCCATCAGAGAGGAGGATGTTTGAGGAAGAGCTCAGGGAACATGTCTGTACTGCCACTGGATATCCCAGAAGGCCTCTTGGAAAAGGGGATGCCTTTCTAGAATCGTGCTACTGGATATGAACCCTGTACATGAACTCAAGAAGAAGCAGGTGTAGACCTTACAGTTTTCATTCTAAATCCCACCTACATTACAAAACAGTAATTTAGTTCTGCAGGCTCTAACCATCTCCACTAACGTTCATAGATTTTTACAAGTGACTCAAGTAATGCATGAGAATCTGAGAGCATCTAAGCTAAGGCCAGGCTTAGCCCCTCACTTACTCAACCCTTTTGCAAGGAACTGGTTTGGTAAACCACTGTCCTATTTTGCTGCATGGTTTAACCACTCTCAGGCTACCCTGTCCCTCTGACCTGCTCAACAAAGCAAATCTCTGTGTCTCACAGCCTCCTCCTCCTCTTAGTCCTTCAGAAGCTCTTGCTTGTTTTTCATGGTGATGATCCTAATTCAAGACCCGCAGGTCTCCTTCTCTGATGTCTTGTTTCACTGGTGGGTGCAGCTCACTCCAACACTTCAGAAAAAAATATAGAAAGCACAGTCTCATACCTTGGATTTTACAGAACAGGATAAATAAAATGCAATTAAGGGTCACCTAATACTGTTCACATCTAAGGTGAGGGCAGAAACTTTCAAACTAAGCTAAAAGATTGACAGCAATGCTTGGTGCTTTTAAAAATCTCAAACATGAAGCTGCATGATCTTTCAGAGGGATTGAAAAGTTTTCAGAGGGGTGGGAAAGGTTGTGCCATCTCACCATCTTAAGTCACCATGACTGGAAGGAGTTAAGAAAAAAAACCTGAAGAAAGAAACTGAAAAAAGGAAGTAGGCTGTTCCCGAAAGCCTGCTGCACTGTTTTCACTGAGAGTTTTGCATGGGGAAGTCCAGGACTCTTCTGCTTGCAGTCCCTTTATGTAGGGCCCAGAGTCCCTCCCATTCTGGGTAAGAGGAGTACATGACAGTTTCTCTATGTTATCTGCAACCTCTCACAGAAACTACACCATAAATGGGGCCTGCCAAAGGGAATTCAATCCCAGTGCATTGAGCTAAAATGATGACTGGCATGACTGCCATGGGGGAAATGGTGATGTTAACAGAAAAAGTAGATAGTCCTTTCTCCATCCCAGTCATATGCCTATACAGATTATTTCAGGTTCTTTAAACACAGGCAGAATCTTGAGGAAGTAACCAGAGAGATGGGAGGGAAAAGCAGCAAATTCTTCCTGGTGAGGACAAGCCATCCCTGGCCCCTGCTTTAGATTAGCCAGCTCTGTGGTCTGGACTTCAGATCTGACTGGACCAAAACTGGGATTGCACTGGTCCTACCCCTCCAGGCTTCAACAAGAAGTTACCTACATGCTTTGAGTAAGGCAACCTGGATTTTCAGCAGTCTCATTTATAATCTAATTCCAACTTCTAACTCGTAAGCTATATATCTTTTAAAATTCTGAAGGTGAAATCCATACAGGCATAAGCAGCAGACAAAACACAGGAAATTTCTCATCCCTATTCATGCCATAGCAGTATGTAGACCAGGGGGGCAGACTGCATGTGTCTGATTCTAATTCTAGTTCCTGAACTAGAATTCTCACCACTGAAACTGTTTGGATCCTAAAAGCATTTTAAACAATTTTATTTCTGTCTCTACAGGAAGAAACGAAAAAATAAAACATCTCCGAGTCATATTAAATATTTGAACAGAATTCTGCAAACCAGGAACAAGACATTTCTAATCTAGGTCATCTTATAAAGACATTAGTGTCACCATGCTAAATTTCTACTCTCCTGAGACAGAGCTGACACTAGTTACTTCGCTGCACTGACACAGATTCTGAGAAAAGCCCCAGGAAGTATTTTAGGCTGATTTCTGTGAAGAAAAACACAAATCACATTTTTAAATGGCTGCACCCAGCCCCACCAGCCCGCTCAGTATCAGATAATGCAACCACACAACACAGCTTGCTCTTGTAGGAAGTAACAACTGATAACATGCCAGTCTTTTTGCAGTTTTTCACTGGAGTGATATATGACTCCAGCTTTCATTCAGATTTCATATTAAGAGAGCATAAGTTGGGCACAGTGCACTCGGAGTTTGCTAAGCAGTGTATAACAGAGATAAGGGGGGAAATAACTCACAGGGGGACATTGCTCCACTCAGGCTGGATATGTGCAGTTACCTTCAATTCCAAGCCAAAACATTTTTTGCTGTGCAAGTCCTATGTTTTTCCATCTCAACAAACTGCAATGCCTTTCTTATTGACCAAGTTTCTCTTTCTCTCCCAGCAATTAATACAGAATCATAGAATAATAGAATGGTTTGGATTGGAAGGGACCTGAAATATCATCTTGTTCCAGTGCCCCTGCCATGGACAGGGACACTTTTCACTACACCAGAGTGCTCAGAGCAACATCTGCCCTGGCCATGAACAGGGTATGGGGCATCCACAGCTTCTCTGTGCCAATGCCTCACCATCCTCATAGTGAAGAATTATTTTACTGGATGTCAAACTCCTTTGTGCTAAGCTCCCTGAAGGCTAGGACAGCACAGGAGGGCAAGAGGCCCAAGAAGCTTTGATTTTGTGGGAAAGAATCAATGTTGCTATAAAGATAAGTCAGTAACAGACATTAGACAGTGTGTTCTCCCTCATTTGCTACAAGAATTAGTGCTAGTAGCTATCCAAACACCCAAGCTCTCTGAGCCCTGTCCTCTGCAGTTTCCCTCCTGGCTACAATCTCAGAGACACAGGCTCCCTTTCCAGAGCAATGTCACTTGAGAAATATTTGTCCTTTGCATATAATACAGCAGCTTTAACTAGAAAAACGCATATAATACAACAGCTTTAACTGGCTCCCTGCAACAAGTTCGGGTTTTTTAATTATGAAGAATTATATTTGGACAAAAGAAAAATAGTCAGGTTTAAGGCCAGTGAAAACCAAGTCCTGAAGTGCAGAGTGTAAGGAAAGCTCACCACGGGTACAGACTGAACTCACACTTGTCCTGCCTAGTGAATGTGCACCCATTAATTATTATTTGTGCCAGCAGCACCAATGTACTGTGACTCAGGACTGACACTGAGATGCTCTCTTGCTGTTATCATGAAACATGACTCAGTTTGCATGCCTTTGTGTAGAGCTGTCACAAACCTCAGCTTAAAAAAAAAATTAATGGCCTGTCATGAAGGTGAAGCAATTTTCCTAGAATAAGAACAATTCCTAGTGCTGTGCCCACAAGTCTCAACTGGAAATTCAGGAAAAATATAATGAAAAAGAGATTAAGCAATTTAATATATTAAAGATCACACAGCTTTAAAACATAAGAAAACTCTTAGAGCTGTCAAGGATGGATTTAAAAAATAATGGTATCCAGCACCCAAAATGATCACTTCAAACCACTCCACAGTGATTTTAAAATTGTGCTTCTAAAAAGTCAAGAATTACACCCTGAATTAGAGTCTTCAAGTAATGCCTATAGCTTGCCCTATGATGGTAGTATCTGCACACCTCTGCTTGGAGGTTATTCTAGAGTCTCTAGTTTGTGCTATTTTCTAAAGAAGTTTCAGAAAATTTGGTAAGAAATTTTATTCTCATAGTCAGAAAGCCAGTTCTCACATTCATTTCTCACAGATACTGCTGCTCAAACACCCTAACATGTTTAAAATGTAATTAAAATGTTCTGGAGACATGAGCAAATGCCAAGTCCGTTTGCATGATGAGGGGAAAAACCCCCACTGAACAAGCTGGAGGTTCCTGAAGCCTATAAGGAGTAATTTTGCCGGCTTACAGAGGATTGGAATTGTATTACCTGAAGTCGATTACAGCTGACAGGCAAGTGAAATGCTGCATTTACAAACTTCCACTAAGGTGACACTGACAATTACAATGAAATCCATAAATCAGAAGAAACAAGCAGATTCACGCTTTGCTTCTGCTATTTTGTTCTGCCAAAGCTATTGCAGGTGTCTCAGACCACGTTTTATACACAATATGTGCTACAGCAGCTGAGCAGAGGAGTTGGGAAGCACTTCCCCCCAAGCTGTCCATCCCCAGGACTTGGCTCATCGAGGCACAGACACATCCTGCTCTTACTTATCTCCACTGCTCATTTTGAAAAGTGACAGAAGTCATATTGGTGCTGGTAAACGTGTCTGCTAAATGTGTGTGCTGCTGCCTTCAAATTAAATAAAGCACTCACTGCCCTTTGTGGGCAAGCTAGACAGGCAGCAGAAAACTGTCAGGACTGCACATGGCACAAAAATACATCTACAAAGAATGGCAAATTTGCAGGTGCTCTAAACACATCTAACACCAAAAATGACCCATGACTTGTTTCTTCCAAACACAAACCTTCCAGCCTGGGAAGGTTGGAATACTCGTTGCATACTGAAGATCTCCCTTGTAATAGTTCAGCATCTCAGCAGATGATGAACTCACCTGAACTGCCACATCTCCCTTTTCCAAACTGGGGATCAGAGCCACCACACTTCGCAGATGGAGATTAAAACATTTTTTCATCCCTCAAAGCCCTTCATAAGGGTGGATCCCAAATTCACAGACCAAGAAACAAGCACAGAGAAGCATATAGAAAATTTTTATAGGACTCATTCTCCTTTCAGGTATTTTCAAGTTTTATGCTTTCAACCTTTACAAAGCACTGAAGATATTTCTCCAATGTTTTTTGTTGAGTGACAGCATTATTAAATTTCCTAAGTTAATTGGCATTTGCAGAAGAAATGGTGATAAGATCTATAAATGAACTCCCAGTACCTTAATGAATGGAATTACAAGAAGCTAGGAAAAAATGTTTGTGCTCTCCTCATCATCCTGTTCCACCCACAAAAGGCATTATATTAATGGAGAACCCAGCATTCATAAACCAATATGGAGTCACAGCTGCATTCCCATCATTCATTCAAAAAGCAAGAATTTCAAAATCCTTGCTTGCACTTGGTCTCTGTGATGACTTGCTCATTATCATTTCCAGATGTCTTCTTTCTCCTATGGAAGCAAGAGTTGAGGCTGTGAACATCAGTCCCAGTCCCTTTCCAAGACAGGTGCCATAAAATCAAGTCAAGGCTGTATGAAAAATGCCTAGCTCTGAATCTGGTTGCAAAAACAAAGATGCAAATGTATACTCAAAACAGCTCTCTTCAAAGGCTGTCCATCAGGGCATCAACTGGACACAAAGATTTCCAAAGGGAAAATGCATCAGTGACTGAAAACCACATCCATATCAATGAAGCAGAATCCACTATAGGGGAGTTTCACAGCTCAGGCACCGTGACAGGGTAGAAAAGGAGGATGAGGGACAGAGAACTCCAAGCTGTTCAGGCACCTCATCCTACACAGACACAGAGCATCCTGATTCCAGCATCACAGGAACCTTTGGGAGTCGAGAGCCCAGCTGGGTTAATCACAGCTGATCAAAAGCCAGGAGAGAAGACCCAGGCACTGAGGAAACAAAGATTAATTGTTTCAGGTAATCTTCATGCACACACAGTTTCTACTGCAAAGGTAACACTTTATTTCTGTTAGCCTAATCTGGACTCCTTGGGCACCACTGCTTGGCCCCACACTGGCCTGTGCTTTGAAAACCCAGCCTGAGGGAGAGCTGAGTAGCCCAGGCACTTGGCTTCCTTTCCTTCCTAAGCAGCTGGTATTAGTCATGAAATAGCTCCAGTAAAATAAGTGGATCAGTGATTATTCCCTTTCTAGTGCTG